TCCTCCCCTCCCGCTTTACTGCTGAGGAAATCAGGCGCGCGATAATTTGCCCTTTCCGCGCAGCATGCATCGCAGCGGTTCGATCGGCACGAAGAGTCTTGCACCGTTGGATGGCAAGAAAGCATGCACGCACAGTAGAGTGCGTTGTTATGTTGGTGATATAATGTCGGGAAAATGACGTAAAGAGTATGATCCTTAAATTTTTAATTTTTTAAATATAATTTTAGAATTTTAATTTAATATGTAATGGGATTTTTAAATTATTAATTTATTCAATATAGAATTTAAATTTTTTGTATATGTTCAATTTAATCCATAAACTGTATGAAAATGTTTAATATTATCCATGATGTTAAATTAATGAAAAGACTAAATCGAACATTTTCATAGAACATTTATAAAAAATTCAGAGATCATATTGAATAAATTAAAAGTTTATGAACCACATTGAGCATTGGCCTAAAGTGCAGGAATCATATTAAATAAATTAAAAATTTATAAATCACTTTTTACATTAAATCAAAATTTAGAAATTATTTATACCATTATCCATAAAATGTCCAAGGCTTAGGATCAGTGGAGATCACGGCAGTGATAAAAGTATTCTATATAATTCTTTTTTCGTGATGATGATCATTGAGTCTAGCAACATTTGCGATTGACAAATCTATTCGGACGCAGACGGTGCAAATTTAGATGTGGGGTCCAATTTGTTTGTTCCCTGGTGATATTATAGATGGGATGGGACAGCTACCGGCCCTGCGCAACCGTCCTGCGAAGAAAGACTAGGCGTTATGGCAATCTATATTTTTAATCGAAATTGGTTGGTGGAGAATATGATTAGTATTCATTGATTGCCAACTCAAGCAGGGAGCATCTCTATTGCACGTCGGCTTTCTGTTCTGTTTATTTTTTTATCAATACAAAAAGCAAATCAAGTAAAGTCATGCAGGATCTCAAAGCGCCAAGGACCAGGAGACACGTGAGTATGTGTCGGTGTGCATGTGAACACGTGAGTATTGCTCGTCAGGTTCCCCGCACCTTCCGCGCAATGCCGCGGAAATTACACGTGCAGTAATTATCCCCCCTCCAATAACGGGAGTCAAATTTTTTATGTTTTCAATCGATTTACCTATTTGCTGGAAAATTGTTTTATTTCAGGAGCCAAAACAAATAATAAAGCGATTGGGGAGAAGACGAAATAGCTCTTGAACAGCGATTTTTGTTATTTTTCTTTTCCTTTATGACATTAAGAATTCTTATTTGTCACTTCATATGTGTTATTCCCTTGCATTTTGCTTTGTCCTTTACGGTAACATTGGAACAAAATTTGCATTATTATTTGCCTTTGTCCTTTAGTGTCCTCGTCCATGACTACTGACGAATTGAAGTGGTAGAAGCATGGTGCAGTTGGTCCTGTCGTGTGAGCGAAGCTTTCTTAGATAACGAAGCACAACATCTTTAAAGAGACCGAGAAATTCATTGTGATTATGGTCTCAATGTTAGCCTTCCATTATATTTATAAGTTTGAGAGAGATATACAAATAAAATAACAACTAGACTTGTCAAAATGGATCATCAACTTATTTCTTAACCCATATTTGATGGGCTGAGTTGTTATATTGATTAGTTATATTCAATAAATGGGTTCACAACTTACTTAGATCTAACTCATCTCTATTTTTCTCTCTTTATTCTCTCTTGCCCTCACTTGATCTCTCGCTCACTCACTCCGTGCTCTCATCTCAGTTTGGGTATGATTTTTCCCGAATTGTGTCAATATTGGTCGGGTATGGATTAGGTCTGGTGTATATCACTAGATTATATTGCATGAAAATGGGTCAAAACGGGTTAAATTGATCAATTTAGGTATGACCATTTTCAATCCTACTAGACCCACCCGTTTGACAGGCCTAATAATAGCTACAGGTGAGACCATAAATAATAATCATGAGCATTAATTAGACTCACCACAGAAAAGAAGCGAAATTAAACAAGAAGATGATGATTGAGGAACAAACACTAAAATTTTGCTTTAAAATGATTTAACAATATTTTATGATTTTCTTAGGATTGTTTTAATGTAACACAACTAGTGTATCAGTTGTGTGTGTTGAAGACCCAAACGTAAAGATTACTTGAAACTTTCGTTAAGGTTTTTTTTTATCAATGGAAGCTGGACATTCTCTGGTTTTAAATATTATAAATAGATATATATGTTCTATCTAGCAACCTTTATAATTGCAAAATCTACTCGGACTCGGACAGGTTTTCTCTCGAAATGCAAAGTCCAAAGTAATGAGACTGACCCACCCATGGGTAGCTCAGTTGGTTAGGGTGTACTTGAGATTATGTGGTTAGGCGCACTAGTCCCAGGTTCGATTCCCCAGCTGAGCACTTGTGATTTAAGTAGGGGGCCATGGCGGTGGGTTGCTGTGCTAGTCTCTCCCGAAGAATAGTCGAGGTGTGCGTAAGCTGGCTCGGACACCTCGGTTATCCAAAAAAAAAAAAAGTAACGAGACTGGGCAGTTGCAATGAGAAAAATAATCGTGAAGAATATTCAGTTCCCAACTCACGTTGTCCGCAAAGGAATTAGTTTAATCAATAAAAAAATTGTTTCTTGAAGACTTTTACAAATTCCCAAAAAAAAAAAAGTTCCATCTATAAGTACGTGTGCGCAATCCGCAGATACCATAACTATGACAAAACCATTATTACTTCTTCATCGTAGAAAACCTCATGTTAATAGTCAATGAAAGAAACTTTGCATGTGAATTAGGCGCACGACAGATGTATGATAATTTACACTATCATTCTTAACGAATATTAAATTATTTAGGCTCTATTTATTTCATAAAAAATAAATGATTTATAAAAGATCTTTCTAAATATGATCGGAAAATATTTTCATCATCTACGGAAAAAATTAGACATAAATTATTGTCGATAATGAAAACGTATTTCATTGACTAATTATTTCAAGAGATCATTTTTTTTTAAAAAAATATTTTTCAAATCATTTATTTTCTGACAAACAAATAGAGCATTAATTATATTTTGTATTCAATACTACATAATTAATGAGGTTCACTGGGCTATATAACAAAAATGTGATTGATAAAATGTGATTTTCAACGTGGTTTTATGAGAATCTGTTAGGATCCAATATTGGAACAATATATACCCAAATAATTAAAAAAGCAGTCATTGATTAACATTTAGTGAGAGAACTTTTGTACTTTTAATAGTTAATGAAAAAGTTTTCATTATCAATAACAATTTATATGTAAACATTGCCATGCATGATCAAAAATATTTTTAGTTCATCCATTTTTATAAGCAATAAATACGATTATTTTTAGAAATATATTTATAATTTTCTTTATTTTTGAGAAATAAAGGGTATGGGTGATCGGTTCCTGGTATGGTCCGGTTCCACCTAGGAACAGGGAATTGGACCGGGAGGATCGGTTCTCAAAACTAGGAACCGACGAGTCCGATCCGATTCAGTTCAATGTAACTAGTCACATAAAAGTGCTTGCTGTTCTAAAACTTCTTTCTGTCCTTAGCATTAAGCAAATGAAATATCTACCAAACTTATTTTTTTTGCAAACAGATGACATGAAACCTGAACAAATCTGTGGAAAGAGTTGATCATATTACATTGAGAAAAATCATCAAGCTCCTTGGGACCTGTCTTTGCTGAATGTGAAGAAGATGCGCATGAACAACTTAACAAAAAATTAAAGGATCATGTTGTTTCCACCAAAGTTTCCACCACCGAGGGAGATGAGAGATCAAACGGCAATCTTTCTTGAAATGTTTGGCCTGAACTCAAATGGTGCCGAAGTGAAGGGACAAGAAAAGAGTGGTTTAAGAAAGGTCAGAAGGATCCATGTAGCGACATTAATCTTGCATAATCTCAGCAATTAAAAGAAGAAGACATCGATGACAAACTAAACACTTCAATCATCGAGAAATAAGGATTATTTTGCAACTATAAATGATCAAACATTAGTAATGATCCTCATATTGAAAAATGGAACCAAAAAACGAGCGCAAGTTGAAGCTCGCAACGACAAAACGTGGGAAAGAAGAGACGACGGGACAAAGGAGAGACGACTGCAGACGATGGACGAGCCAAAGGAGAGATGACCGCAGACGGCAAACGACGAACCGATGCTGGCGAGAATTTCAGAAGGGAGGACGAGAAGTCGATTGTCAAGGACTGAAGCGAAATTAAGGTTTCACAGATCAACTTTATTTTACTTAATTTTTTGAAGGAATAAAATATATATAATATATATATATATAGTTGGTCCGATTCCCATCCTGAAATCGGGAACCGCACCGACACTTTCTGAAATCGCACAAAATCGATCGATCCGGTCCGGTCCGTGCAATCTCCAATTCGATTGATCCGTCTTACACGCCCTTAATAAAGGGAGTCTTAAGTGAAAATTGAATTTTCTTTTCTGTTTTCCAACTTTATTAAAATGGGGATCACTTTATAGATCCAGTACATTATTCTAATTTAATTTTCTCTCTTTATTGATAGGCAAGTCCCATTATAAAAACCAAATATATATATTTTCATCTAATCAATTTTCGTGGAGCCCACTCTTTTTTGTCTTTTCTTTCATCCTTATCAGCTGTGCGTCCTCGTGACCTGACAGGCTGACATCTCTCTCTTAACTCGGTCCTCGCGCGCCACACACTCACACGCTCGCGGAGCGCGTGCGCGCGCGCGTTGCCCAAATGTTGTACTCGCTTATTGCAGATTGGGGGATCCACGACGACTAGATCAACGAGTTTTCAAGTACCCTCTGTATCTTTTGTTTCACTTTAGTGAAAATATAGATTTTCTATTTATTTACCAGCTTTATTTGTTATTTATTTTACACGTTTACTGCAGAAAGTCAAGCGAGGTCCAGATCAAAACTCACCTTTGATTTTATCTTGATGCTAGCGAGGAACATTCAGAGAGAGAGAGAGAGAGAGAGAAGATAGAGAGAATAGAGAGAGAGACCTTAATTTGCAAAGTGAAGCTCCTATGGCGAACTCAGACGCTGGAACGAGTAGCAGCAACGCAAGGGGAGCCGAGTATCAAGTTTTCTTGAATTTCCGTGGCGGAGATACTCGATTTGGATTCACCAGCTTCCTTCATCAAGACTTGGTACGTAATTCTATTCGTGCCTTCATAGACGAGGAAGAACTTCGAGTCGGCGAAGAAATCGGTGGAGAGCTTCTGCAAGCAATCGACAACTCCCAGATCTACATACCCATCTTCTCAAGAAATTATGCTGATAGCAAATGGTGTCTTCGTGAGCTCGCAAGGATGGTAGACAACACATCCAAGTCAAAGGAGAAAAAGATTCTACCTATTTTTTACGATGTGGAGCCAGATGACGTTGACCTTAAAACCCCAGTATACAGAACGGCCATAGATGAACACAAGAAGAAGTTACCTCGTCACAAAGTAGAATCCTGGGAGGAGGCTCTTAAGAAGGTCGACAAAATCAAGGGCTGGGTGCTGCCAAAATGTAAAAGGTAAGCTCTAAAGATCCCTGCCTTTCTAGCTCTAGAATCAAGCCCGTCCAATACAAGGAACGTTGGGAAATAAATAAATTAGCAAATCTTCACATCTTAAAAAAAAAAAAAAATCAAGTACAATCATATGCAAGAGTTATTAAGGGTAAATAAAGTAGTACACCGTTTTTTGGATTTAGAGGCGTACATGTTAATCTGTATTAATCACCGCCCTCAGCGGCTGCGCTGACTTTGGGCTTCCCTCCCCCACGAAGGGTAGGAGTTCGAATCCCAGCGCTGGTGTTAGGAATTCTTAAGCGTGACGTCGTGGTGGTGGGTCTTGCGCTAGCGTCACCCCGAATTTATCTCCTCGGCTGTCGGCCGTGCGGGGATTCCCGGGTTACCAAAAAAAAAAAAAATGTTAATCTGTACTATCAATATAGCTTTTGTAACTAATGAACTGGCTTCTATTTATGGCAGCCAAGCGGAACTTGTGGACTTGGTAGTTAAAGAGGTTTTGCATGGGCTGAAGAGAAAACATAAGTTTGTGACTAAAGATTTAGTTGGACTTGATGATCGAGTGGCAAAAGTTCTCGAATTGTTAGGTGTTGACTGTAGTGATGAAGTGAGGCTGGTCGGACTTCATGGAATGGGGGGTATCGGTAAAACCACTCTAGCCCGGCTTATCTACAATGAACTTTCTTCTCGCTTTGGAAAGTGTTGCGCCTTCCTTGACGATGTTCGAGAAATGTCAAAGAAGGAGGGTTTAGTCTGGTTGCAGAAGAAGTTACTAACAGAAATTGATAGTTCTAGTGCAGCAGAAATTATTAGTGGAGTTGATCACGGAAGGGAGACGATAGAGGCAACACTTGTCAGTAAGAAAGTTCTCATTATTCTTGATGACGTGGATGAGAAAGAACAAATTGAGAATCTAATGGGACAAGGTCGGTTGCATCCCGGAACAAGAATAATTATCACCACTAGGAACACAAGTGTGCTGAAGATTATTAGGCAAAGAATGGCTCGTCAAATGAAGGAGAAGAATTCTGGCCATGCACTCCAAATTCTGCCTTATGAAATGAAGGAGATGAATTTTGACCATGCACTTCAACTTTTCAAGAGGCATGCGTTTCTTGAAGGCCCTCTGGCAGAGGATTTTGACCACCTCTCAAGAGATATTGTCTCCACTACCGGGGGCCTTCCTTTGGCTCTTGAAGTTATAGGTTCGTTACTTTGTGGAGAGTCCAAAGCGAGATGGGAGAAATCATTAGACAAGTTAAAGGATATACCACATGAAGATGTACAAAAGAAGTTGATGATTAGCTATGACGCCCTAAATGATTATCAGCGCGAAATTTTTCTTGATGTCGCATGCTTTTTGATCAATGCGGATATTACTAATGCCAATTACATGTGGGAGGCTTGTGAATTTCATCCTGAAATTGAGGACCTTGTTAGAATGTCCTTGATAAAGATAAAAGATAACAACAAATTTTGGATGCATGACCAACTGAGAGACCTGGGACGAGAAATTGTTCGTCGAGAAAGTCGTCAAAATCTTGGGGAGCAGAGTAGGCTGTGGACTAGCGAGGAGGTCCTTGATTTCATAACAACCGACAAGGTAAGACAACTATTAGGTTCAAATGAAAAAAGCGACATCCTGCATTTGAGGATTCAACTTTCTGCTCATGATTTTTTTCTTCCATTTCATTCATTCAAGTGATGAATAAAATTACTAGTTACCGACAAACTTCGACTAATCACTGCAATTTTTTATTGGCAGAGGAAGAAAAAGGTTAAAGCGATTGATCTACGGCAAAGCAATTCTCATATCTCAATTAGAAACGAAGAAATTGAAAGGTTCGAGAGTTTGGCGTTCCTGAGATTATCCAATGGGACATTTCTTGGGGATTCCATCATTCGTCTACCAGAGTTGAGATGGATGTCCTGGTCTTCTCCCCTACCAGATTGTAGTGTGGCTAGTATGCATTCAAAGAATTTAGTTGTCCTTGAACTTTTTGACAATCACTTCACAGATGATTCGAAAGTATGGGACTTAATTAAGGTATGGTTTCCATCTCAATTTATGACAGTTGTCTCGTACATTATTTGGCTTCTTTTTGTAACGTTTATTCTTCCGTTTTGCAGATGGCAACCAAACTTAAAAGTCTATCTCTTGTAGATTGTCATCGCATTACTAGAACTCCAGACTTGTCGAAATGCCTGACTTTAGAGAGGTTGACTTTTGATTATTGTTGGGAGCTGAGGGAAATCAACAACTCCATTGGAAAGCTAACGTGCTTGCGCGACTTGAATATCACTAATTGTAAGCTCGTTGAACGAGTGCCTGATGAAATTGGAGGGCTAGTGAAGCTTGAGCGCTTCTCTTTGCAGAGATGCTACAAAGTGCGCGGACTCCCCACCTCTATCGGCAAATTAGCATCATTAAGGAAGTTGGACCTTTCAAATACGAGAATTACAAGCCTGCCGGATTCCATCGGAAAGCTGCGGTGTTTGTCAGATCTCAACCTACAACGCTTAGCAATCACTGAAATTCCAGACGAAATTGAAGGGTTGGTGGAACTGCGACATCTTTGTTTGGAAGGCACTATGATTAAACAACTTCCGGATTCCATTGGAAAATTAAAATCATTGTGCACTCTGAATTTGTCACATTACACGTATGAGGAATCAAATTCAAATCGATGGAAGTTACCCAAAGATATCGGAATGTTGGACAAACTAGAAGAGCTTGATTTTGGTCATCGGAGAGAGTTGGTAGGCGAAATTCCTTATGAAATAGGAAATCTATCCTCTCTAAGAGTCCTAAATTTATGTAACACCAGTATCTCTGGAGTTTCGGGAACAATCAACAAGCTTTCTCACCTCTCAACACTTGACTTAAAAGGGTGTCATGAGATTACAGAGTTGCCTGAGCTTCCAACGAGTTTAGTCCGTTTATATATTCTGTCTTACTCACTGAAGGTAATCCCAAATCTCTCGAGGCTTACCAATCTGGTAGAGTTGGTCCTATCCGATTGCTTTTATAATCGAAAATCATCAAACATAATGCACACATGTGACTTGGGGTGGATTGGAGGGCTATCCAAACTAAAGAAATTGGATTTGACTCTTCTCAATGTCGTTGTACCGCCTACAAGGTTGGGTCCCCTTTCTCTTCTAGAAGATCTTGACTTGTGTGGTCTACATCCGCACCCCCTCGAGCAGCCACGGCCTTCTTTACTTCCTTTAGAACTTGACAATTTCAGCTCAACAGGATCGCCACTGTCCAACTTGAAAATTCTGTCAATTTTGACGCGTGGTTTCTCGCGGTTGCAAGAAATTCAATTCAACGGTCTTTTGCAATTGCGGCACTTACGTTTGCACGAGTGTTCCCTTCAGAGCTTATCTATACCATCTAGCTTAACGCAACTGGGATTATATGATTGCCCTAATTTGATTGAGATTCAGTTTCTTGGTATGTCGGCATCACTGGAGGACTTATATATTGGAGACTGCGGGTCAATTGAAAGGATAGTATTTTGCGGTGAGGTAGGATCTCTCGGTGTCCTCGATCAATCAGAGTCTTCTTCGAGTGAGTCAACCTATTTTGCACCAGGAGTACTTCTTCTTCCCAATGCCTTGAAGAAACTAAAAACACTTATAGTGGTGCGTTGCAAAAACCTACTTGAGATTCAAGTCATCGAGTTATCAAACTCGAAGAACCTTCATTATTTGGAAATCCATGAGTGCTCTAAGCTGCGGGTTGTCAAGGGCGTTAACGAACTAGAGTTTTTGACTGAGTTGGTTGTCTACGATTGTCCTTCACTGGAAACATTGCTCGACATATCGAACTTGAAAATACCTGATAATTGCCGAATACTAGTCAGAGGGTGCAGGGAGTCGCTTAACACTTTATCACGAGGTACTTTTATTCCTTTCAGGCATTACAAAAGGACGGCCCAACAAGGTGCGCCTCAACCAGAGACAAACAAGGTGAGCCTCCACCAGGATTTTATCATAAGGCCAAAGAATTTCACCAAAATTGCGACTAGATGTAAATTTCTTTTCTGCAACTTATTCTAACATAATTAGTTAGAAGCACGCCACTGCACACACCTATCGTATTTCAGATAAATTTATAGAATGTTCAAGAATTGAATCAACAATGTAAATTTACCAAAAATTATAACAGCCTTCAACCAGTCTATAGAATCATTTCTTCACTTGCAAATGTCTAGGACTCTCAAATTTTCCCTACCATAACAAACTAAAAGTCGCCATATGAGAGGAGAAATCTGATACAGGCGATGGCATCGCGCTTTCCTTTCCATTTTCTTTGGCCCCCTCTCTTTGGTCATATTCTTCCATTCATTGACTTTATCTGCAATTTCTGTTTATACAGACACGAAAACGGAACTTTGAACTCGTAGACTGGATATAGATGTCATGTTTCATGTAGTGCATATTTATTTTAGTTTCCTGTAGTAATACTGTCTTTTCCTTTTGCTTCTTTCAGAAATACATTCAACTTCAGTCAACTGAATGTAAGAAATTCAAGGTTAAGAGATTTTCACTTCTGGACATTCTGAGGGATATGGAAGGTCATAAGGTGCTTCGTAGAGGAACTTAATTTGGAAAAGAAAAACCGACTTTGAAGGGAGAAAATGGAAGATTTTACACTGCATGGACTACTGAATCATCATCATTCAGGAGTATATAGACTCATGATGTCTAGCACATAGGAGCCATGAGTTTGTTGTACCCTTGTTTGTGAAAATAGAGAAAGCAATGTTAAGAAAAAGATTTATTTGATTACAACTGCATTTTCTCACCTACAATACTGGCTAAAGAAAATCTTATTTTTCATGTAGGAGGAGGCTAAAATGGAAGGGGACGCCAAAGAGCCCAATGAGCTTCAGCTTCAGTTACATCCATCTGCAAGTTCTCGGGATCATGAAATTAGCGAAGAGCCTCCCATTGACAATGTTGGAGAACGGACTCTGCCTCGAAATCAAAATCAGACGACGGAGCAAGACTTGAACCCTTTAAGTATATCACCACTATTGTCTATGTTTCGATCTACTGTCATCAAGTCAAAGACTGGAGGTATACATTGAATTTAATCACAACCTGTTTTTGCAGGTCTTGACGAACGTGGAAAGCAAAATCAAACAACAGAGCAAGACTCAAACTCTTTAAGTATATCATCACTATTGTCTATGTTTCGATCTACTGTCATCAAGTCAATGATTGAAGAGGTATATATTGTACTTAATCACAACCTGTTTTTGTAGGTCTTGACAAATGTGGAAAGCAAAATCAAACGACGGAGCAAGACTTGAACTATTTACGTATATCACCACTACTGTCTATGTTTCAATCTACTGTTATAAAGTCACAGACTGAAGAGGTATATATTGAACTCAATGATAACCTATTTTTGCAGGTCTTGACAAACCTGGAAAGCAAAATCAGACGACGGAGCAAGACTCGAACCCTTTAAGTATATCACCACTATTGTTTATGTTTTGATATACTATTATCAAGTCACAGACTAAAGATGTACATATTGAACTTACTCACAACCTGTTTTTGCAGGTCTTGACGAACTTGCGCCACCAAGAACATTTTGTGATAGGTTCAAGACATGCTTGGTGAGCATATTGGAATGTATCTGCAACCGCGATCTTTCCTAGCAGTTACGCTGGATTCTTTGGAGTTTGAAATGGAAAAAGCATTTTAAGGTTAATTCGGAATTCGTGGACATGGAAGGGCTTAGTCAAGTCTCGTCATTTGGTTGATTGAAGAGCCAAGTGATGGCTTCAAAAGACAATTTTCAGACTCCTCTTGATCAATCTCCAAGGCAACTACAGTTGAGGGACTAAGTGTTCCAGAAACAAGAACTCAGATTGCATAGGAATTTCCTCTACGCTTGCGTGAGACAGTTTCTTCAACCTTGGACGGCATGTGATAAACCAACGGACGCACTGACAGGCTGCTGATTGGTGTTGGCATTGTCAAGCAATGATTAGGTGGCTGGTTAGCAGTGATCTCTATAAACATTCATTGGCCAAGGTTTACTAGAAGCTGCTTGATATTGGAGGCAGCGAGTTTCTAAAAATGGACTCGGTGCATTTTGTAATAAAAGTTTCATCATCTAGTATGCACTTTTCATTGACAAGGGAATCCTGTCTCCAGAGTTGATAATCCGGTAGTCCTTCGATATTTGCTAAATTGCTCATGAATTGTTTGATCGTAGCAAGGAAGCCAGAGAAAGGATTTCACTTGTGGCCATGAGCTCTAAGGACCCTGATATCAAGCTTTCTCTTGGCTTGTTTCTCATGCCCACTTGGGAACCAAGAACAACTTACCAAAATAGGAAGATTCAAACTCACTTATCAAATCACTGCTATTATAATTGTAACCAACTTTCATGTCATACAGATAAGAGCGCATTGAACATATTAACTCTAGCCTAACTTTGTAGGTTTGGATGTATTTCCCCCCACCAACTATACAGATCTTTGTACAGGTTTGAAACCTTTTTCACAAGGAAATTAAGACCTATTTGCAAGACTAATTTGAATGAATTTCCCTCCACCAACCATGTAGATTCTAGAATCTGTGAAGGTCATATTGACATAGTAATTTTAGCATTTCACTATGCTTGGAGGATTTGCTGTTTTTGGTACTTTTGGATCCTATTCCCGGGCCTCTGCCCTTTATATATATGGAAGTCGCCTCATAGTTATGCCTTTCGATTTCAACGTCGAAAAATACATGCAATTGTCTCTGCTCCAGCTTTAATGAAGCAGCGAAGAAGAATATTGTGCTAAAATGCTCTGTTGGAGTGTAATTTCAAAATATCCAAGCAACATTGAGAAAGACTAGCAGTGCATAAACAAATAACCAACAAACCAGAGAGAGCTGGTGATTATGGTACAGTTGCTTTTTCATCTTATTGGGCTGGTGCTTTGTCTGTGTGGAATTTTTGGGAGGAAGATTTCGCATACAAGGAAAACATGATTAGCAGATCTTGAACTGTCGAGGGTATGCGAGATAAAATTAAATCACACAGTTTAATATCTAACCAACAAAACTGAAGATGGTGAAAACTCATCAGCATTCATACATGTCATATGGAGGGTTCTCGCGAGGCAGTGGGTAGTTCTAGCTCAGGCTCGGATATAAGTGGGGAGACACAAAAGTCGACCATATCCTTGGTTACTTCTTCCAAACTTGGAGGATCCCACTGCACATTGTTGGAAAAACCCACAATAATTTCTGTCATGTAAGTTGAGAAAATGCGTAAGGTTGGAAAAATTGGGACTTAATTTTACCTTCGGAGCGAAGTCCTTATCCACTAACCGTGCCCGAACACCCTACAGATGGCAAAGAGTACTATTAATCAGAACATAAACTATATCTTTGCAAACCCACATATGGCAAAGAGTACAATCATCTGACGATAAGGAGAGAAAAAAAAAAAAACCACAAGATTCAATCATACAATTGCAGTAGATGTTGAAGATTTGCATACCTCACAAAAGTCTTTGGAAACTTCTCCAGAGATTCCACGAAGGGATATTCGGTATTCCCGAGTTAAACATTGATCAAGAGTCTGGAATCTGCCTTCGCGAATCTGAAAAGTAATAATTATAACCAACTAAATGTCTGGAGAAGGAATCTATGTCCAACAAAAAAAATCAAAAGAATGGTCACTCACTGATCTTAAGGTGACTTTTAAGCTCAATGGAGAAGCTTCCCTTAGTTTCTTGAGGGTCATTGCACACCATTCACCATAAGAGTCAGCTTCTTCAATTTCCTAAGCAACACCAATTTAATAAGATGTTAATAAAAGAACATCTAGGATACTATCTATGCTGACTCATTGCATTTCTCAGTTGATCAGTGCCAATTCTAAAATCACGCATCTTGCAAAATAAAACATCAGTCAAACCATCTCAAAGACCAGTATGATGTCAAGCATTATGGACTTTCCAACAATAAACATAAGAGTCCTTTTCAGGGTCTCCCATCCAACTTACCAGTGCATGTATAATTTCCTCGACTGTGTCATGGCTAAAGCATTTATCGATCACATCAATCCTGAGTCAACACTAAAATATTGTAAGAGAACAAGAAAAAGATACCCTATTTAAAAAATTATTCAATACACATTTCAATAACTGCAAGAAATAAAACTTAAGAGATTAGAAAGCAAAAGAATTGCTGGCAGTAACCAAAACAAAATATGCAGGTTCATTATTTAATAAACGCATGAAGGAATATACTTGCACAGAGAAGGAAGAAACTTCTTTCCATAAAAGCAGCAATCACTATGCTATCTGGAACATTTACTTGTGCCCTGCACAGTTCTAATGTGCACAACAACTGATCATATGTCATAACTAATAACTTATCATGTATATTTTAAGTATTTAGAATGATTGATTCATAGATCTACTCAGGTTTGGATAAAACAGAATCAACCTCAGAAAAGTGTGAAAATAGCTAGTGCATACAAAAGGTTATGTGTGGTAGAATGCAATCTACTCACAATGTACATCATTTATTAGCTACATCACAAACTTCTCTAGTGTGTTCCCTAGACAGATGTATAACGTGAAGTTATACCGCATTGATCCAAAAGCATACGGTCATCCACACAGAGGAAAATAAATGTAAAGAAAACCATGCTGCAAAGATTCCAGAAGCTGTAGACTAAAGTTGAACATTACTTATGAATGGTACTCCTCCTGTCCGGATAAACAAGATCACCATATTGTGAAAGGGATGTCTCTATAACAGATGGATCATCGGTAGTCAGTCTACCAAGACGCTCTTCAATCAAAGCTAATCTCTGTCAAGGTCATTAATTGTAACTCAGAATAGATTATCAAGGTATGTAGTGTAAAAACACTGAAGCAGCAGTCAAAGGGGCATTGAAAACAAACCGCATTTAGTGAATAGTGAGTAGCCAAGCGACAGGCAACCATTTCCGCACCATTAAGCTTATCCCCCGTGAGAGCCAGGTATTCCCCTGGAAGAATAAGGCCACACATTCTAAGACAGAATCCTAACGCTAGTTATCGACAATTGCGATTCAAAGAGAAAGAGTAGTAAACCATGCAAAGACAATACTGTGGAAACTATATAAGCTTTACATTACAAACAGAAGGACAAACCATCAATATGATTTCCATGGTTTCAATAATTAAGTATATTGCAAACAAAGGCTTCCCTTTAGCGCAATGCATAGGATGGTCTTCAAACTAATTTCTGCAGGCCAAAAGGGAACTAATGGATACAGAAAAACATTCGCACATGCTGTAAAGATTACATTTACGAAGAACTTCTAGTTTACAGACACCAACAGAACATTTTGAGGCTTAAATGTTATCCGACCCTTCTGGCCTATTTTAAATTTGGTGAATGATCACCTTATTTCATGACACGGTTTAGCCAAGACCTCCCTTTTGTTTGCAGAGACAATGTACCTAGATAGCCAGGTAAACGGGAAAGGTGGAAGGAAGCTCCTGCATCTGGATGAAATCCTATTTGAACCTCTGGATGGGAAAAAACCTGCAATTGGAAGCATTAGCTCAAGCATTTACTTTGCAGAATTGCTGCGTATGAAACCAGGTGCATTATATGTTTGTTTGTTCAAGTTAGTCCTTCCATCAAAAAACTAAACAAAAAAGGTGAAGTAGCTGTCACAAGGCTGAAACATGCCACCTTGGCATCTACGCAGCCACGTAGGGTCCACGTGGCTATTACACAGTTAAAAAACATAAAAATAAAGTAGTGGTTCCACAAAAAAAATTGAGAAAAGAAAAAAAGGAAAACCATCTTCAGCTTGCTCTGGCAAATAGAGGGCAGTCACGCACCGACAGCCACCGGCAAGGGTGGCCAGACCCTCCCAGGCTCAGGTGACAGTGGCCAGACCTTCACAGAGCTTAGGCATGGTGCAGCCCCCATCCATCACAGAGGCACACACCTGGTGAGAGAGATACGAGGGAAAAGCAGTCCTGGTCCTCAGCCGCCCCTCGGCACACAGCGGCAAGGGCCACAGCCCTTGCAACAGATCTTGGTGAGGGTCACGGCCTCACGTTAGATCTGCAGTGGTTCTGCCAGATTTAACTTAGTCCCAAAAAGACGGACTATGAAAATTTCATGCATTTGTTGCCAAACCATTGTCGATAAATACCAAAAACTAGATCATAAGATTGAGTAAACCACAAGTGCTTGGTGATTTGGAGAGAAATCCCAACATTAAATTAAATGTTGCCAACGGAAGTTGAATAAACACAACCCCAACGAGCACATAAACGAAAGCAGTTAACATTTATATCAGTATTAAGGAAAAGTCACATACAGTTTTATCAGTTGCTAATCGAAACATTCCAGGAAGAGAAATCCCAGCTCCACTTGCCATAGTGACACCGTCCAAAATAGCCAGCTGCCCAAGAGTGAAGTAAATAAAAAGTGACCGACTCATAAGTTGAAACTAACGCAAGCGCTGAGACATTCAAACAACTTTGATTGACTAAAAATTAAATCCAAGAAATTGGACATTACACCTACTAAATGGTTAACGCTTGCAGTTTTTACTGTAAAATTTTGATAGAATATTAAATGCCAAAAAATAAATAATGAAAGTAACTTGGAGTACATCATGCAATTACTTTAGAAACAGAATCCTGCTTGACATGGAAGAAACTGTGCCTATAAGATGACTACTATAAACCAATTGCAGTAAATGTCACTCGCTTTACATTTGACTCAAGGTACAAAGAGGGAAACGTAAATGATTTTAATTGTTCTTCTTTCTTAATTAAGCATAGAGTAATAAGTTGACAAGAGCTAAACATCAAAAGGACTTACTTTTGCTCCAAGAAGAATCATGTCAAGAATCACAAGGACTTACTTTCTCCTCTCATCTCACCATGAATTGCCTTACACATAAAGATCGTGGTCAAGCAGATCATTAGTCAAAGATTGTTTTACTGATCATGCCACCAATGCGGAGGTACCTCATCTTCTTGAGATTTATCAGTAACAAAGTATGTCCACCTTAGTGACCTAGACTGCTTATGCTACAGAAAATGGTGCCGAAGCGGAATGGAGTAGATCACATGTTAAGAAGAACTATATCCAACTAGTAGGTTCAATAATTTTAATAA